ATTTACTTTTGAATCAAACACATTTAAAACATATACATCTGGTGCAACCATACCAAAACTAACAACAGAATGTTTAACAGTATTATTCAATTGCACTATGCCTGCAGATGTTCCAGTCAATGGCGTCAGTGCATGCTTGATGTAGCCAAAAGTGTCCTAGCTTGTTTCATTCATCAGTTCAAAATTTAATCAGAAATTCCTTGCATTCACGGGCCATTTCTAAAACCCAGAAATTACTTCACCATGATACAAAGTGTGTGTGTGTGTGTGTGTTTGTGTCTATGTGGGTGTGCATCTGCGATCCTTGCTGTGCTCATTTCCAAGTTAGCGAGCAATCTTAGAGATTTATGTATCTACGCATGCTGTGTTTAAGTGGGACTCTGTGTGGGTGTTGATCCTCATATCAATTGTTTGCATATGTGTGTGGCTCTTCGTCTTTACTTGTGTCACTGTGGCTCGAAGCTTGTCGCGGCATTCGCTATCCGCTTTGCCTGGGTGGCTTTCCGCAGCAATGCGTTTTATAGGCCATTTATCATTGCAATTTTAAGATCCTGACCATGTGTGCTTATTTCCGTTATCTTCGGTCGTTATTCACATGTTTTCCGTTTTACTGACCTCTTTTGTTTCTGTAACTTTTTCCAGAGTATGATCTCCTCGATAGTCAATAGCTCCTACTATGCTAATGTCTCAACTGCCAAGTGCCAAGAGTTTGGTCGCTGGTACAAGAAGTACAAAAAAATTAAAGGTAAGACTCATGTCTTTTTGGCTGTCCAACCAAAATATGATCCACATTCAGTTATTTTTGTTACTATGGACTAAAAATGCTTAAATGCTTAGTTGACTAGTCATAGTTGCATCCAACATTACATAATGTGTGAGTATGAAGAACTTCTCTTGAAGAACTGACTTTAAAACTTTTCAAAAGTATGCAGTGCACAGTATAAATATGGGTAGTATGAATGAATTCCAGATACATCCACTACATCGCTCTGCCAAGTTTGTCATTGTCATGTGGCCTACAGTTCCATTTACATTGACTGCCAAATCCTTATGGGTTAGTAAAGTGTCCAGTGTATGCACACTTCAGAATCCCTAGAAGAAGTGGGTCATCAAGGCCCTTTACACTTACTGTTAAAAAATCAGACGTAATGTTTACACCCAGTTTTTTTGTCTACTGTGTATGGAAGTAGGCATACATGGGGGCAGGGAATGCAGGTTTGTAACTGTAGTGAGGTGTTCAGGGTCATGAAGTCTTGACGTATTTGCTGCATTGTATACATTGTATCTTAATGGCCCTTTTTACACAAGATGGGGTAACCTAATCCTCCTTGTGGCCTAATGGAAACCACTGTTCCTTCCCCAAAAATGCTGCAGGGGGTCTTCCAGCGGCAGGTCCTATCCTACAGCTCTGCTGTTTAAGCCTCTTAGCATCCAAATGCCTGTGACAATTTTCCTCCTCTCATTGCCCCTTCAAAAAGTGAAATAATTACACAGCAGGACAGATCAAAGTAGGGACTAAACCCCAAGTGCAGAGAGAGAGAGCGCCAACAAAGAATAAAGCGATCCTCGGTATGCTGACAGAGTAAGTGGTGTTGAGTTACACCGAGCCCCCTCCATTAGTTCTGCTGTTTGCCTCCCAGAGCTAAACACTCAGCCCGCATTGCCAGATGTGTGTGCCAGTACGGAGGGACTCCATTGGGTGACTCACGTGTCAGTCATACAGTTGTAAGCCAGAGTTGTAAAACTGTCTATTCATGAAAGAACATTATTGTTTCATCATGAGCATGATTGAGTTAATGAATGCTTTTGTCACTTACCATGAGTTTCTCATGTCTGTTTTAGGCGATTATTTGTGGCAAGGACGGGAGGGCTCAGAAATCAAGGGTAAGCTCTAAAGTATCTTTGGGTAAAGGACTGACTTTGATTTCTTAGCTTGAACAGTAGAGAGTTTGTTCTGGTGCCTCATACACATCTTTATCCCTCTATAGTTGAACGGGACAATATCGCAGACTTCTGTGTATTAGCCCAGCGTCCACCTCCTCACCTCACTGCACTGGGACAACTCGGCCCATTGAACAGCGCTGGCTCCCTGGTAAAAGGCAACTCAGGAGAACCTCAGAATTCAGCTCAGTCTCAGCCTCCACCTCAAGGGCAGCCACAACCCCCATCATCTCTTGGGCAGCTCCATCACAGTCCTCCACTAAGGGCACAGGTGCCTCCTCCACCTCCTCCTGCCGCCCTGCAGCCTCTTTTGGCACCTGGAGGACTTCTCTCACCCCAGCTCAGTCCACAGCTGGTCCGGCAGCAGTTGGCCATGGCTCATCTTATCAACCAGCAGCTGGCCGTCAGCCGCCTCCTGCATCAGCACCCACAGGCTCTTAACCAGCAGTTTCTCAATCACCCACCCATTCCTCGGCCTAGCAAGTCTGGGGGCCCTGGAGAGCCCGGCTCCAACCCCTCGGCTGCAGAAGTGTCCTCTGATATATACCAACTAGTGCGAGATGAGCTGAAAAGGGCCAGTGTCTCACAGGCAGTGTTTGCTCGAGTTGCCTTCAACCGTACACAGGTATAGTTCAAAGCTCATGGTGGAGCATATTGTCTCATCTAGAACTACAATTCTTTAAACTCTGTAATCATTTTGCTGGCAAGAATAAAAATTTTAACGATTGTAATGCACATTTTCTATGTCTATTAAGTAAAAAAAAATCCCGGGGAATGTTCATTCATTCATTCATTCATTCATTCGTTCGTTCATTTATTTTATTTTCGGCTTAGCCCCTTTATTAATCTGGGGTCACCACAGTGGAATAAACAGCCTTATCTTATCCTTATCCAGCATATGTTTTACACAGCAGATGCCCTTCTAGCTGAAACCCATCATTTGGAAACATCCATCTCATTCTCACACATACACTACAGACAATTTAGCCTTCCCAATTCACCTATATACCACATGTCTTTAGATTGCGGGAGTAACCAGAGCACCCAGCGGAAACCCACTTAGGGATAGTAATAAACATAAATTAAATGAATTTAACCAAGACTGGCTTGTTTGTCAACAGTAGTTTAGTTCATTCATTCATTCATTTTCTTGTCGGCTTAATCCCTTTATCAATCCAGAGTCGCCACAGCGGAGTGAACCGCCAACTTATCCAGCAAGTTTTTACGCAGCGGATGCCCTTCCAGACGCAACTCATCTCTGTTGCCAAAGCAAGCATTTTTTTTCTATCTACAGAATTGTAGTTAAAAGTAACACTGACTATTTTATTTTTATAAAGAACATTATTTTAAATTTTCTTGTGAAGTTTCAATTTTACATTTTTAATATGAAAGACAAAAATGTGGGTATCTGCGTCGAGATTATTCCGAACATGCAGTCAGTTGTAAGATTCTTAGGGCAATTTGTAAAAAAAAGAAAAACATAAATTAATAAATCATTAACAAAAACAAATGATTTTCTGTCGTACTGTATACTTCAAAGATTGCTAAGTTCAGTTTGTCATAAAACTAAAATATATGCATTCTACAAATAGACCAAACACAGACAATCCTAATGAAAAAAATTAGTATCAGCGAAAAAAGTAAATATATCTCATAACAAAACAGTGGCGACACGGTGGCACAGTGGGAAGCACGATCGCCTCACATCAAGAAGGTCACTGGTTCGAGCCCAGGCTGGGTCAGTTGGCATTTCTATGTTGAGTTTGCATATTCTCCCATGTTTGTGTAGGTTTCTTCAGGGTGCTCTAGTTTTCCCCACAGTCCAAACATATGCATAGTATGCATGTATGTATGTGAAAAGTTGGCTGTTCATTCAGCTGGGGCGACCCCTTCAAGGGACTAAACCAAAAAGAAAATTAATGAATAACAAAATATTTGTCATATATGTTATAGATTTATTGCTTTGACCTAGTCATTATCCTATGGACAGACCAAATCATATACAACTCAGGTCTAAATAAGTTTAATTTGGCACTGAACTAAATACTGTCAGAGTCAGTGTGTTGGTTTGAGCCTGTCATCATGATTGCCTGGTATCCAAAGACTGAATCCTCACATACCCTCTCAGCAGCAAACACACCTGGTGAATTCACAGAGTTACTGCAGGTCCAAATTATGTTCAATTACATCCAACATAGTGCACAGTCGATTAGAGAGTGGGTGGAGGCTTACATGCTGCAGGTGAAGTAATAGAAAAAAATAAAACAGAGTCATCAACTGTACTTACTTATGTGTTTATGTTCACCAGGGCCTGTTATCAGAGATATTGCGAAAAGAAGAGGACCCGCGTTCAGCCTCTCAGTCTTTGCTGGTGAACCTCAAAGCAATGCAGAACTTCCTGAACTTACCTGAGAGTGAGAGGGACCGCATTTATCAGGAAGAGCGAGAACGCAGTATGAACCCCCCTGTGAGTCTGCCTCCAAGCACAAACCCCAGTCCTGGGGCCGTCCGCCTCTCTCAGGTACCACATTTCTCACCTTCATTCCCATAGACATCCCCATTGCATCTATGTTTGTATGTTTAACTGGGTGTAGAAATACCTGAAAGCTTTTGTTGTGTCTGATTCTCAATTGTTTATATGTACGCCAGTGAGATTGCTTTTGTTTCTGTCTGGATTCATGCGATCTGTTTACTTGTTTGGCTTGGCTCACAGTTTGTTGTTTTCTTAGTAATCTGAAATCAGGATGTTACAAAGCTAGGTTTTGCAAGAACTGAGCTTAGCAAAGGCTGGAATACTCTACTCAGAATAAAAAACACAACATATCACATGCATCCCTCCTTTATAAATAGTTAAAAAATTTATGAAAAAATCTAAATTTCACATAATTTAGAGCTCGGCAAACACAAAAATGTGCATCTTGTTGCTAGGCTGTACATTACCTATTAAAACAATAAGAAAAAAAAGCCAAATATGTTTGAATATCACCAAAATAGCTTTGTGACTTTAAATAAAAGTTGCGGAGTCAATAAGAAAAGTTGCTAAATTTGGTGACAGTATTCCCAGACTGGTAACAGTGCTCATGAGACTATCAGCTCTGACAATATCAAATGTTTAATATCCTCAGAATGTATGGAATCAAGCAAAAATCATATACTGTATACTAAATACTATGTTTGAAACTCATACTTATCCCACTATTCACTATTATTAAAAAGTGTTTTATATAATACGAATGTGCATAGTGAAATATGGCATAGGTTAGTCACTTCACTTACTCTCATATGCATAGATCTTTTCCTGTGGCCTCATAAGGCATTATGAATGTCCACTGGATGCACATTTAATAATCTTCCTGGCTCTTTTCTTCTACTGTTTTGTGACTACTATGAATTGTAGAGGAAGCGCTACTCACCTCAAATAAAGTTTTTTTGGGTTTTGAAATAGTATAAAAGTAGGAATATACAGATGTTATTTTATATGTAACAAATGTCAACTCTGTCTACCCAAACCTGAAGAGTCATCCACACTGCAAATAAGGGTACAAATCTATTTATATCTATTTAAGGGTACAAATCACAAACGTCAAGTAGTGTGTTCCAGCCTTAAAATTATATTTTGTCTTTAAATGTTTGATGCATGAATATTGATAGTTTTGCGCTAACCACACTGTCTTTAAAGCCCTCTAAGTGTCAGAATATCTCAAGTCTGTCTGCTACCTTTTTATTGCTAACCTCTCGCTATACCTCTCAATGCAGAAGGTGTGGGAGCGCAGCATCGATGAACAGTTAACCCCTGATGCGTGGGCATCTATTTGGAAGAATAAGACCAAAATCACAAACTCGGTGAGCATTACATCTGCACTTAATTTCTTCATGTAGAGTGTTTCTCAAAAGAAACCTTTGAGATCTGAATTGTAATTATTTGTAACCATGACACTTTTCCCACTGCTAATAAATGTTCAATAAGTCAAGCTACTGCAGAATGTTAAATTTATGCTATTTTTATTAAGGATTTTCAACTAAATCCATATTTGTTAGAGATTACATTTTTACACACACATTAAACCTTCAGGTCCACATGCTTTTGCCGTTGATTATCTAAAATGACAAAAGCAGGAAAGCATGGCTTTGCTCCTGTCATGGCATGTTTATATTAAATGACCTGGAACCTGGTGCGTGGACTTTCTAAAACGCTTGTATGAAGCGTATGAATGCGCCTGCTTTCAGCCTCAGAACCATTATGAATGAACCTACGTATGCAGATAATAAAAAAATCCTTCTGATATGGGAACAAAGTTTTCATTCTTTGGTCTTTGGGAATGCGGTTGTGTATTATCATTACTATTATGTCTGTATATGTTTATCTTGCAATCGTTTTTACTGGGGAATGTGAGATTACTTGCCTGTGCCTGCAGAGTAACTTCAAACACTAAATAGGAAAACACACCACTCTAAAATCAATATACTGGTCTTCAAACACATACTACAAAGAGTACAGATAAATACTTTAACGGTTTATCTGCTAAAACCATAGTATGTTACAGGTACAAACAAGAGTCTGCAAAATGATCCATGACTGTTATCTCATATTGTAATTTCTGTAGCAATTATAAATATTCATCAACCAGTTTGTCTTTGTTTGTTATATTTACCTTTGACCACTGGATCCTCACAGTGCAAGACTCCTAACCCTGACCTTCCTGTGAAACTGGAACCACTGGTCAACATCACCTCAGCCATCTATGACGAAATCCAGCAGGAGATGAAACGGGCCAAAGTGTCTCAGGCGCTTTTCGCCAAGGTGGCAGCCAACAAGAGTCAGGTATAAATATTTATTTATCAATTATTTTTAGTTATTGTTTATAAACTTGTCATGTTCCCATCCTTTTATAGAGCACAGGGTAACACTTATTTTGATGGAGCATTATTGGACAGTCTACTTAATATCTGTTGATACTGCTGCTAAACAGATAATAAACTAACTATAAGAAACTTTGCAAGTACATGTCAGCTTACACTAACCCTAACCCCAACCTAACAGCCTACTTATAATCTAATGAGAATTAGTTGGTATGTAGATGCAATGTAACTTAAATTCAACAAACGGACCATCAAAATAAAGTGACACCGAAGTGACAGTCCCTAAACGTTACAGTAAATGTCAAAAAATACTGTGTTGTTACCTTGTTACATACCAGTTTTTTAAACTGTACAAGGGAACTGAAATTGCTAAATATTTCTTATGTGGTTAGAGTTATTATTACAGGTTAGGATATTTGAGACACCTTTTATTCTGAAAAGAATATAAGCTTAAATGTCTTTTCTTAGTCAGCATAGTAGGGGAAGTAATGGTGTGCCTCTATGCAGACTTTATATCTGATTCTGGCGCGTCTCTCCAGTTGATAAACAAAAACATAAACAGATAAATGTCTTGCATTTATTTCCATTACTTACTTGCCATTCCAATCCTTCTAAAGGATCTTACTTTTTTCTATGCCTTTGTCAGTCTCTCTCCCAACCCATGAGTCATTGCTTAGGTTGTGATACGGACATGCATTCAGTGATCCGTGGATTAATCTGATTACTGTCCTCATACTCTTTTTACATTGACACTTTGTTCCCAGATTTTAAAGCATGCAGAACATTATGAATCAATATCATAGAAGCAGAGAAATCTATGTTTTTGATGCCTTGAAAAACAAATATTCCCGTGCTGACAGTAATTACAGTAATTATGAACAGCACATCACAGGCATATAATTGTGCTTTTTTGTTTTTTCTTTTGTTCTGGTGTTGTGCATCTATATATATAACACAAAGACTACTGTTTAAAATCATCCATGGAGATTTTTAATAAAGTAGATTAATTTAATTACAAAATATGATTTGTGCTATATTTCTCTTTCAAATAAATATTTTTTTCCAGTTTTTAATTGATCAGAGAATACTAAAAAAAATGTATCACTAAAAATATGAAATTTGAATAATATTTCACAATATAAGAAGTTTGTGATATTACTGTATTATTCATTCGTTCGTTTTCCATCAGCTTAGTCCCTTACAGGGTTGTCACGATACTGGAATTCGATACCAATCAATACTAAAGTTTTAAAAACATCCATTTCCTTCTAACATTTCAGCGCTAAAGAGCACGTCCTAAAACAACGCTGATTTGCTATTGTGTTCACATGCTCAACAGAAATTACAGTAATTAGCCGTGAAGGTCATCAGTTCACTGAACTCATCGCTGTTTACTGAGTGTAATCACAGATACAGGGACACTGGAGTGTTTTAAAGTCAGGTTGATCAGCTCGTTATGTCTGTAAGCTGACATAAGAGCGAAGACTTGTAGGGGAATGAACCGCCAACTTATCTAGCATATGTTTTATATGGCAGATGCCCTTTAAGCCGCAACCCAGTACTGTGAAACACTTAAATTCACTTACATTCACACACACACTCAAACTCTACGGCCAGTTTAGTTTATCCAAAGTATGTCTTTGGACTGTGTGGGAACATGCAAACTCCACACAGAAATGCCAAATAGTCCAGCCCGGTCTCGATCCAGCGACCTTCTTGCTGTGAGGTGACAGTGCTAACCACTGAGCCACCATGCCACTCCCAATATTACTGTATTTGTCATCAAATTCATATAGACTTAACGTAAAATATTTTACATTTAAATATTGACAAGTCAGTTACACTGTAAAAAAGTTGACTCAACTTAAAATTTTAAGGCAGCAAACTTCAGGACATTTTGAGTTTATTCAACTTAAATCGAGTCAAGTGAGGTAATTGGGTTGAAAGTTGAGTCAACTCAAAAATGTCCTTAAGTTTGTTGCCTTAAAATTTTAAGTTTGTTGTTTTTTTTTTACAGTGTTGCTGACCATATTGTTTTAGTGCCAAGAACAACAGCAATGCCTTTACTAATGCAAAAAATGCATGGCATTCATTTCAGAGTGTTGATAAAGATTTTTTTTTACAGCTACTGGCCCATTTGTTTGTCTCTGTCTCATTTAGATCAAAGAGGGATAATTGATTTAGTCAAATATGATCCTGCTCCCAGCTGCGCCTAATTCTTACCATGTAATAGCCTGAGATAGCTTCGGTATCTGCTTCTTCCTTTGCTGAGAATCTCTGCATTATTGCGGACTAGATTTGCTGGTGTGACCACATCATCTAGAGGCATGTGTTCGGGGCGTCTTCGCATGTTCGCGTGTGTGAGATGTGTCAGCGAAGTGCTGCTCTGGCGGTGTGTGTATGAATGAACGAATGTGTGTGTGACAGATGCGGTCAGGTCTCGCAGGTCTGGGGTCGGGTGGGGGGGTCACGGCCGAACGCATCCATCTGCTGCAGCTGGCCAGGAGGAGCTAAGGGAGAACCACAGAGAGACCGAGATGCGCAGGTCATTAACAATGTGTGCTGGAAGAGCTTGACTGCACACAACAGCTGGTGTCAAAGACTGGCCCAGTCTAGCAGAGATAATCAAATCTTCCTAATCTCCAAGCATTTCACTCTCGCTTTCACACACTCTCAGCTCGCTCAGTGCACTTGTGATGCTTTGTGGTGCAACTTGTTTACTGTGAAGTAAAGTTTACAATGATAGCATGAACAAGGGGTGAGTTGTCGTTGCACATCCCATTGTGCACATAATATCCTGTCCTCGTCAAATCTTTATGATTGTTAAATTAATGGCCATAAAAGAGAACGAAGTCCCTATAGATTGTGTATGGACATGCATATGGTATAAGTGACACTAAATGTTTTTTATTGCCCTATCAGAAATGTTCTATTTCTCATTGACAGAGATGATTATGGGCTAATAACTTCATTCATTAGTTTTCTTTTCGGCTTAGTCCTTTTATTAATCAGAGTGGCCACAGCGGAATGAATCGCCAACTTATCTCAACCCAACACTGGGAAACACCCACACACTCACTTACACTATGGCCAATTTAGCTTATTAAATTCACCTGTACCGCATGTCTTAGGACTGTGGCGGAAATCTGAGCACTTGGAGGAAACCCTCGCAAACACAGGGAAAACATGCAAACACCACACAGAAATGCCAACTGGCCCAGCCGGGTCTCGAACCAGTGACCTTCTTGCTGTGAGGTGATTGTGCTACCCACTGTGCCACTGTGCTACCCCAGTTAATCATTTGTTTAAAAAAAATAGGAATCGTAGAGCATGCAAGGTTTATTCTTTCCTATTACTATTAAAAAATCCTATGCAAGGCATAATGTTTTGAGAGTGCTTAATTTTGAATAAAATGTAGTATCCCTTTAGTTGACAGTCCATATAAACATTCACAGGTTATCTAGGTAGTCTGAGTTTCCCAGTGACAATTTTAGAGTCCATTCATGTGCAGTTTACATATTGCAAACTCATATTTGTATTAATACCAATGACATATGGAAGCAGGATTCATTTTTAATGGGATTGTGATTGCAATTTTATAGCTAGATCATAAGTTCTTGTGATAATTTTTGGGTCTGTATTTCCAGCAAATCCGTTGTTTTACATTAGAAGTTTTTGACTTTTTGATTTTATATTGTTGATATCCCAAGCAGAAATATCATATATGACCCCATATACATATATATGTGTGTTTGTGTGTGTGTGTGTGTGTGTGTGTGTGTGTGTGTGTGTGTGTGTGTGTGTGTGTGTGTGTGTGTGTGTGTGTGTGTGTGTGTGTGTGTGTGTGTGTGTGTGTGTGTGTGTGTGTGTGTGTGTGTGTGTGTGAACATAAATGTACATGTCTGTAATTTGTAGTGGTTGGGGAAAATATGTGTAAACATTATTACATCACTACATTTTTGCAATATTTAGCATTTATGTACATATATGACATATGTTTTTATATGTGTGAAGTATAATCCTGAACTTGTTTGTCATATATGTGATTTGGATATATTGCCATATATCAGATATCTGTTTGGGAATGAAAAATGGTTAGGTTTCAGCGTAGCTTTTCAGTCATGTGCTTAAAAATATAAAAATATTTAAAAAGTCAAAGCATGTAAACAAGTATAATAAAATTACTGTAGCTGTTTTAATTCAAAATCCTACTGTAATATCTGTCATAATAACAGTATTATACACCACTACGTAATTTTTTGACATTTCATATATTATGATTATTATATCTGTGTAGTAGTCATAATGGATTCTTAATGGAACTTATAAAAACAACAAAAAAAAAACTATTCCAAAGGTGTACCTAGTATTTTAAAGCATGCATATGAGATGACTACTTTGGGCAAAATATGTAATAAATCCTTATTTTTTTAAGGGATGGCTGTGTGAGCTGCTTCGCTGGAAAGAGAGTCCCAGCCCAGAGAACAGGACACTCTGGGAGAACCTGTGCACTATCCGTAGGTTTCTGAGCCTTCCACAGACAGACAGGGACATGGTGTACGAGGAAGAGTCCCGTCATCACCACAGCGAACGGCTGCACACTGTACTACACCTGCCCACTGACCCTCAGGTAAGTTTTATAAACAAAATCAAGCAAAATACAGGAGATTATTGTGACGTTTACCGTGCAGGATCGTCAAATGGTGTGACATGAAATGTTCCTTCACTGAAAACTCTAATAAGTTGACTGAACTAAATTAATTGAGTAAACTCATTGAGTAATGGAGTCTCCCAAATCTTGCATATTTAAGTTTATTTAACTTGCCGGTTTTATATATGCATGTGTGTGCATGCGTGTGTGTAATAATATGCTATGAAAAAATATTTAAATAAATTTTAAACAAAATATAAGTGTCCATTTCTATACATTATGATGAATAATTATACTTGAAGCCATTTGTTTTCTGATTTAAAAAAATACCTTGCACTTAAAAGATTGCACGTATTAGAATTGTGCAGTCAAGACTACATTTGTGGAAATTACCTGTTTTTTTTTCAAAGGATTAATCATGATTTTGAGCTTACTACATTTGAAATGTTAACTTTCATGTTATATAAGGTAAATTAACTCATATTTCTAAGTGATAGGACCAAAATGCTAAATTTTAAGTTATGTTCAGTCAACTTCACTAAATTGTTTGAGTAAAGACAATATTAGGGTTTACAGTGTTCATTCTGTCCAGAAATACTGTAATTTCAATTCAATTCATGTTTACTTCTATGGCGCTTTTACAATGTAGATTGTGTCAAAGCAACTTAACATAGAAGTTCTGGTAAATTGAAACTATTTCAATCCAGTTTTTAGAGTTCAGTTTAGTTCACTTCAGCATAGTTTAAATTTCACTGCTGAAAGTCCAAACACTGAAGAGCAAGAGTAAATGCCAGAGATATTTAAAATTCTGAAATATTTTTGGTTCTAACACAGTGGAAGTGTGATCAGCAAGTGACATTGTGCAAAGTAAAGAACACAGAAAACTAAAAAAATTGGGTAAGGCACAAATTTTTGCTGGAAAAAAAATTAAAAATAACAATAGAAATAATGCAAAACCTCTGTAAATACAATACTTAGTAAGTTCAAGTGCATGACTATGTCAGCTGAAAAAAACCACATCCGCACCCTTTCAATGCTATTGGTTTCACTTTGTGTTAATCCTGTCAATAGTTTTGTTAACAGCAAAAGAGGTTTGGCTCAAGCTGTTAGTAAATCTGTTAAAACCTCTTTAAATTCAAAACACTTTTTAAATTCAGTGTTTTAGATTACTATCTTTTTAAAATAGCATGCTTAACCTTAACAGAAAAGAATTTTGAATAAAATAAATTTTAAAAAACGAATTATTTAGCCCAAATGTGTATAAGATTTCAGATAACAGTGAAAGGAAAGTGTTTTTCTCTTTAGATCACATGAATGTGTGTTCATTGTATGCTTCTTTGAGGCTTCAATTTTAATATCAGCATCATTCATGCAGCATTCCTGCCAACATCTAATAACCCAGCACACCCCAGCCTCTTTAATCACAAACACACACACACACACACGCACACACAGAATTCCAAATAACACGCTACTGATTAAATGGACTTTCCCCTATGCCAGCCAGGGTCATTACAGAATAGACTGTGGACGTACACTTCAGTATTAGACACACACACACACACACACACACACACACACACACATCTACTCACTAATACTTATATGTAAATACATGCACACATAAATCTACAAACCCTTGGATCAATGCTTTCTACCTTCTTTCAACCTACTCTTCTTTCTCACCGTGCCAGTAAAGCATTAGCGTTGAATCCACTCACAATGATCGCTGTTTATTAACATTTATTAACTTAAGCTGAGCGGCCGTATTAAGATTAAGCACTAACAAATGGAGACAGAGTTACTTCCCTGTTACTGTCTCAGCCCATTACGTGTCTTTCTCTCTTGCTCGCTTTCTCTTTTATGTCAGTGGAATAAACAGACTGTTGGCAGCATGTGTGTGTGTGTAAATATACTCATTTATGTGTTTTGGGCGCAGAAGGAAATGCCCCATTAGGACACACCCTGACAGACAGTGCCACCACAGCCCTGATATTAATAATTACGGGAAGAGAAGGAACACACACACATACGTATGCACATACACACACGCACATAATGACTCAAGGGAGTTCAATACAGTAAGTCTCTTTAGTAACTCCACACTCTGGCCATGAATTCTTGCACAACACTCGTCATAAAAACATACATTTGTTGAGGATAGTCAGTGAATTTAGATAAAAAGCTGTACCAGATACCTTTTTTATTGCTGTTTACTTTCATTATGTACAGTGCTTAACATATATGAATAAACCCCTCACAAATCTCTCATTTAAATTTTTATTTTCCATAGGAAAATATTATCTTTGTGCATATACATTAAATTAGTCAATACTGAAGCCAAATCTGGAGCTTATCTAACAAAATAACTTATGATAGCAGTCCAAAAATTTGTACACCCAAATTTGTGTTAGGAAAAATATTAAATAAAAAAAGCTAATTTTAAGAGAAACAAAACAATTTTACAATTTTGTTAAAATGGATGTAGTTTGTAGTTATTTTCCCCAATATTTGCATGAATTTAAATGTATTATCTTTCTATTTCTAAAGATATTCAATTACTAAAATATTATTTTAATATATATGAATTAATATATCTGTTTAATGAATAATTTAATTTAATTTTAATAGATAAAGTTATTTAATAAATATATTTTGTTTAAATGCACCCAAATATATGGCTTGTATTCCCAAAAAAAATGGCTTATCATAAATAAGTTATGATAAGTAATGTATATACAGCGTGTGTATACAAGTATTATATGAATGTATGTATAAAACCTGTCCACTAAACCCCTTAGTGTGTATTTAAGCTTTTCTAGTTCACAGATGGGGTTGTGGAGGATTTCCAGCATAATAGGGTTCTTTTGCTGGCTCATAAAGATATATAAGCAATAATGCCCTTCTGAGTAACTGATAAAGTTATGGTTGTGGTGTCAAAATCTGCTAATTTAAGTCATATGTTAATGTTTTTCTAAAAGAATAGAAACAAGTATAGTAACAATATAGTGTCATGTCAGTGTATTATGAAACTGCCATAAGTGTGTATGTGGGTGTTTGTTTGTGTCTTTGCTGCTGTTTTTTCCCTGCTGTCGGATGTAATAATGAGAGACCCTCCTCAGATCACACTACCCCTTGGCTCCAGCCTGCTGCTACCACAGTCAGCACATGCCTTCCAGCTGCCTATGCAGACATGAGCATGTTAATGAATGAACACACATGCAGCACTTGCATGTATGTTGACTTGGCACACAGCAACAGACTTTGCTGATTTATTTACTTCATCCTTTTAAGATCATCAAATGTAACTCAAGAGTCCTCTTCCTCTTTACTGTCAGTTCATGTAATATTGACACATCTAAGTAAATAAAAATTATGATTTATTGTATATGTTTTGATAAAAGCCAGCAGTATTTTACTTTCTAAAATCTACACAAAAAATAAAAAATACCAATGTTGAGTCAAATATGGACAAAACCAACATTAGTATTATTTATTCATTTATTTTCTTGTCGGCTTAGTCCCTTTATTAATCCGGGGTCGCCACAGCGTAATGAACCGCCAACTTATCTAGCACGTTTTTACGCAGCGGATGCCCTTCCAGCCGCAACCCATCTCTGGGAAACATCCACACACACTCATTCACATACACACACTCATACACTACGGACAATTTAGCCTATCCAATTCACCTGTACCGCATGTCTTTGGACTGTGGGTTAAACAGGAGCACCCGGAGGAAACCCACGCGAACACAGGGAGAGCATGCAAACTGCACACGGAAACGGCAACTGAGCCGAGGCTTGAACCAGCGACCTTCTTGCTGTGAGGTGACAGCACTACCTACTGTGTCGCACCTCATTGGGATTATTTTTACAAAATAAATTTAAGTGTAAATTTAAATGTGTTTGTCCATAACTGACTCAACACTGGGTTTCAACTAGTCATTATTGAGTTAATTTTATCTAAAACAATTTACATTTTATTGTGTAAAACTTAATTTATTTCAGTAATTTTTAGGATGTTTCACTCAAATAACAACAGATAAAACTAACATGAAAATAAATAAAACTTTTTTTTTTTTACACTATTTCATCTAATGATCATTAAATTATTAAAATATTAAATTATTTTATATTTACTGTTGCATTAAAGTCCAAAATGGAAGAATTTATGTTATTTATTAATTGATTGTTCAAGCTACCTCACCCAAGTGCTCTGTTTGTAACAGAGTTGTTGAATGTGAAAATAGGGTGAATTAAATAAAAAATAAGGATCATCTTGAATCTGTTTCTTCGCTCTTCTTTATTAATTAATTAATTTATTTATATATTATAGAAGTATCAAATCAGGTTTTGGTATTGGTAAATACTCAAAATCAAATAACTCTGAGGGCAAAAAAACCTGATCAGGACATCCCTAGTGATTACTGCTCCAAAATCAGTTCTTTTTAAACATCTTGGTAAAAAAACAACAACTTTTACCCCCATTTAACACAATAAATTTATTTTAAGATACATTTAAAATATTTTGGACCAGTAGTTTTTGATGCAGAGATTCCTGAAAATATTGTTGCAATAAAAATCTAAAATAAAATAGTTGTCAAAAATGTGTTAAAAAACAAAACTTTGGTGGTTTTAAAACTTTGACTTTTCCAAACCACGGTAAACCCTGAAACCGTTTATCATCCCATGCCTAATTTCAACAAACCAGCATATTTTTATCGTGTAGCTAAAATGAAATACATTTTATTATGTAAAATTGATTTTATTACAGTTAATATTTAGGATTTTTTATTTATTTAACTTGATTCACGCAAGTAACTACAGATAAAACAAAAAAATAAATAAATAAATAAAACACTATAGAAGTTTTAAAAATAGAAATTACAAAAAATAACAAACTTTTAGAGCTAAAAATCAATAGTAAGTACATTAAATAAACCTAATAAATATGAAAGTTTGTCTAAAGTAATACTGAAATACATATATTTATCAAACTTTTTATATAGTACCAATTCCAGACCTCTAGAGGTTTCTAGATTCCATTTTGAAATCCTGAATCATGCTAGTGAACAGTCATATTTTCTTCTCCGTGTATCTTAACGGTTTCAGTCACTCTCAGGCGGGTCAGCACGAGCCCCAGAGTGAATCTCGGCTCACCTTAGGGATACACTCACACTCACACTAACACACTCTGGAAGGTTGACCCAGTCCAGTGTTTTCTTGACGCTGTTTCTGCAGTTCGTGTGCATGGTCTTAAGTGCCTCCCTTTGCTCATTTGGCAGGACATTTCTTATGAATAATTTCTCCTTTGTTTTTGCTAAATTGGTTGCTGCAGTGTGCACTGGAGTGCCCCCTAGACCCTGCCGTGTGGATTGGGACCCCGAATGAGTGCTGGGGTTGAAGGACTGCTGGCAATGCACATACTTGCACAATCACACACTCAGCATGGCAACCACTGACATCATTGACCCTCTAATAGAAATATTAGGGCTTTTTTCAAAAATCAGAGCTCAGCGTTTAATTTATTATTATTTTTGTGTACTGTTAATTTAATAGCTAGGCTGTTAAACTCTGTTTGTTCCATGCAGTGTAAAAGTAAAACAAAATAATGACAAAGCAATTTTTTTTAAAAAGTGTATAAATACACAGAAAGAAGTAAAGTTGTTGTATTTCCTTTTTTCATTTTTCAAGTTAACTGGTTTGGCACTTTTACTTTCATTCAGGAACATTTTATGCATGCCCCTGTGATAAACGAGATATTGGATGCGAGTATGAACTGCTGAAAGAGTGTTGTTTTAATAGAATTTGATATCGCATGCCGTATTAGGGATAAAAAAAACTTTGCATATATGTGATATATTGCGATATGTGTGTCTATGGTCCTTCATTGACTAGGTATGTAGGTGCAGAGAATAGCAGAGGTAATAGTTTGATTAAGTTGTTTACATGTCTGAACTGCACTTCAATAATTCAACTAAAATCGGCATAGTCCACATGTCTTAATTTGATTTCTGTTCAGTTAGATTATGACTTTAGTTAGTTTAAGGTAATTAAAACTCGCTGTTTACATGGTAGACTCTTGATCAGAATACTGTCTTAATATTATTAAAATTGGATTATTGGTGTCCATGTTAACGTAGTTATTGTCAAAGTTATTAAGAAAATAGTTGCAATCCTAGTATGACACACAATAACAGTTTTAGAAAAGGTTTTGGTACATTTATTTTGTTAATATTAACATTTTTGTATTATGTATTTAGTTTAGGCTTGAGTATTTATATGAGTTAATATATTTAGGTCAGTTAATGTTTATTTTATATTAAGTAACAAAAAAGGTTTTAGTTAAGTATAATAACTCTGGTACCTTGAAACAAGTAAATGCTTACTAAAATGAACAAGTGATGCATATTGTGTTGATCAGTATGGCTTAATCATAATGGGTACTTAGTTACTTGTTGACTGTTTCTTTTGTTTTTGTGGATTGCCTAAACTCTAAACTTTCTTAAAAAAAATCAAGACAAGCACACGCACATGACTCACCCATTCCTGAGGTATTGCACTGTGGCAAAGAAAAATTATGATGCACATGATAATTGGAGAAGGTGAAGTCATGCACAAGGAAACCAACAGGAAAGTGTCTTTCTCGTCATTACATATTTATCTGCCTGTTAATGGCGTCTCGAGTGGCAACACAGCCCCCTCTTAATCCCGCCTCCGTCCCCACGAGGGCCAGTCCTCATTAAGAATCTACTGAATATTTTATGTTCTATAATTCTTTTATACTTCTTCATCATAATTTGCCTTGATTTGTGTTTAAAGAAAAAAAGGATACTTTTTCTTAATGCGGTGAACTCAAAGACCCATCCGATCTTGGAATTAAAAAAAGAAGGAAGTGATGGAGATGAATACTGAAAGAAGGAAGGCTAGCAGGGAAAAATTGCACTGTGTCCAAATGTGACTCCACTGGTTGAAAAGAAGTTGTTTAAGAACTGAGTAGGTGAATAAATTGGACGGTGAATGAAATTGGAGGTTGGCTTTATAGTTAAAGCAGGAATTTGAAATGGAGTCACTCGTTTGGCTTGGAAAAAAGCTCTTCATTAGTGTCCACCATTAGAGCTCAGACTCTACTCTGAATGGCTTTCTTGGAGGACTTGCTCTCCATCTGTGTAAAGAAAAATATCTCATAGGTAGAGCCATACAGAATCTGTGGATCTTTTTAGCCATTTCTGAGCAGAAAATGAATGAAGAAAAAACTGAATTAATAAATATTTATAAACATTTACACAAGTAATTCAATAGACTGAATAATGGGTTTTTTCGGGCAGGTTCAATGTGGGCCGACCCACAGGATGCCAAACAATGGCACAAAGTCACTATTAATCTGTGTTTTGCATTTTGGATCATGCCGTATGTGTCTTTGGAACCTACCTAACTTGCTCCCGGAACTTGCTAAAATAATATACACAACAAGCAAACATATACAAAATGAATGGGTTTGTGAATGTGTGTGTGGTCTCTAGCTAAGCTAACGGGTATTTTGTGCTGTTATGAGTTGTGGTCAATCTAATTATTCACCATCTTTAAACTTCTTTGACATTTCTTTTTCTTGTCCTTTCTTGTGGCCACTGTTTGTTTCTCACAGACATGGAAAGTAATACATTATGGAGAAATAGAGAAGAGAAAAAAAGAACAAACCTACACACTTCCTGTAAAGCGCCAGCCCAAAACAGCCCCCACAAGTGAAATCGGAGCAATTTCATGGTCTGGCCTACCCTCAATATTATTTAAAAAATACCCTGTTATTATTTAGGGAATAGAGAGGGAGAGAGAGACAGAGAGAGAGGCGCATGACTATTATCTTTATGTAGGTCCTTTAATTTTAATGCACCGCAGATTTATAGCTTAGCATTCCAGTGTGGAGGCACTGGGCACCCCACCCTGGTCATAAACTCAGCAGGACAGCGCCACAGACTTCGATAGCTCAGCTGTGACACACTGCACCTTCCCTTGTATCACAGCTCACCAGATATTTTATTTTATCTTATTTTCTCAGTGCAGATTTTCTGCTCTTTACTTCTGATCCTGAACTCTGATTACCACTTTTTTTGTACCCCAATACCTCTTCCTTGTTCACACGATTCCTGTTTTGGCAAACCAAAAAATGGCAGATTTATTGAGAAACATGCGGAGGGTCTCAAATCCTTAGAAAAACAGCAGTTTGCTAGCCTCTAGCTTGTTAGACAATGCTAATAGCATTGTGTTTGTAGAGGACAAAAGCATATGCTAACAATTTCATGTCTCATGACCAAGTCAGAACTGTCATTTCTGGCTGTCTGTGTTTTGGTTTTGCATGACTTTTTCTGTTAAATTTAGTAGTCTTCTAGCAGGGATGGGATGTATCCCTGTCAAAGTGAAAGATGGAAACCAACTTGTCACCATACTTCAAATGATATGTTGTTTCAAAAGATTTCTTTATACACATACTTTTGATGGAATTCATTTTGGTTTCGGTGCTTACTTGCTTAGCGTCTCCCATATAAAATGATTATATGACAATATATTCAATCTTGTGGAATATGTGTACGATACACCTAAACAATCATTACCAGTCTGGTTGGATTTTTACCAGAGTTGATCCCATACTCAAGTGCACTGAGGACATTAACTCCAAAAGACATTCATTGAAATGGCACTTTGAACTTTTAAGCAGTGTTTCAATTATTCTATACTGCTGACACAAGTTTAGGTAACTAAACTTAAAAAAAAAAGATTAAAAAAACTCTCAATTTTCTTTTCTCATCAGGCACTTCACAGACAGCCCATGCAGCCACTGAAGGACCACTCTCCTATTCGAGAAGACCCTATTCCCAGTTCTGGAGCTGAAGAGAACCCTCAGGCCAACACAGGTTCTGGAAACAATGGACCGGTTGTCAGTGTCACCAAAAAACCTCGCTCTCGCACCAAGATCTCTCTGGAAGCTCTTGGCATCTTACAGAGCTTTATCCAGGATGTGGGTCTATACCCTGACCAGGAAGCCATACACACTCTGTCAGCCCAACTGGATCTGCCCAAACATACCATTGTTAAGTTCTTTCAGAACCAACGTTATCATGTGAAGCATCATGGACGACTGAAGGAGCTCGGATCGGAGGGCGGCGGTGTAGACGTGGCTGAGTATCGAGACGAGGAGCTGCTTTCCAGTTCAGAGGATGCAGAGTCCAGTGAAGATGGTCACGAGGAGATCTACAGTGGGCATGAGAGTGCCCCGGCTGGAGCAGCCAACTCTGTCTCAACTCCAGCTCTTTCTTCTGTCCAAGATGAAAATAAAGACAAATGCTTGCCTCTGGGAACAGTCAGACCCAACTCTCTGCCCCCATGCAGTTCATCCTCAAGTCCCAGAGATCAAGCAGACTATCAGAGATAAACCAGCCTCAGCAAAGACTATACTGTAGGTAGGGAAAGGCAAAGAGTGAGCACTTACATCAGTTATGCAGTGGAGAAGAGAGTGTTGTGGACAGCTTAGAAACTTACTGGCAAAGACGCAGTGTCTTTTTAAGACCTGCTAAAGGCAAACAGAACCAGACAAGATTTGCATTTTGATTAAGGGGACTCTTGGCCTCATACCTCACAAGTTACTTACAGGGACAAGGTGGTACATAAGCAATCCCTACAGGGTAATACCTGCGTTTGGTTGACTGGAAAGCTTTAATTCCTTATATGTAAATTGTTGAATTAAAGCTGGTTTCAAGATGGCTGCCTCAACCCCAAGATATCACGAGCATTCAAACATGCACGCTAGGAATGTCAAGAAGGCCAGTCTTTCACCAAGATTTTGATTTATTATCTGATAACAGAGGGTTTCTTTAAAGATACCACTATCCATGCCCCCTCTACACATCTACAGGGTTAAAATAGCAGGGACAGAGCTTTAGATGAGCCATTAATCTCTTATAGGTCACCAATAACTTAATTCCTGTCTGATCAGGGAACCTAGTGGATGGCTGTGGCTGTCCTCATTTTCCCCTCCATGATGGGGCGTATTGATGGTCGCCAATAGAGGGTCGTGCTTGACTGCTAAAGTAGTCGGGTGGGTTGGAGGTACATATGAGCTTCTGGGTGTACACATCAGCCCAGCCCAGGAACCCTACTATAAACACATGCGGTGTGCTGAAAGGTCCACAGTTAACCCAATGGCGCTTTTGAAGACCGCGCCATCTCTCCCACAACCAGCCACAACCATCATTCCAAGCAGTCCCACGCGATTCAAGAAATCACTCCTTTCCCCCCACCACCCATGCACACCCAACACAGACTGTGCACAACATAATGATCCCTCAGTCCTGTCCAGTGGTTGAAGGTTTGCTTTATACAGATATATTTAGGCCTTGGGTTTGTTCCGGTTTTGCTCTCTTAAAAGACTGTAAGAATAAAGTATAATTGGCTGGAGGACTGACTGCTATGGACAGAAGGACAATAGTGAGGGTGCAGTCTAACTGCATCTGCCTCTAACCTAATGGAGAAAAGCAAACAAACAACTGCAATTGTGTGGAAGTGCGGTCGTCTTTTTCTTCCGTCACCCCCACAGCTCTCTCTTTTACTGACTGATGCCCACAATGTCCTAATTTGACCACACGTAGCCACACCCAACTCCACAGCACTATTTATTGCTATCTCACCCTCAATTATTATTGTTGTTATTGTTATTATTGTTATTATGGTTGTTCTTGCTGTTATTTTTAGTTCTATTTTCACGGTCTAATATCAGATTTTGACTCGCAGCAGATGTTTTGGTAACGAGAGACGTTGTGAAAGAAAGAAACACTGCCAAAACATAGAGAAAGGAATTAGAAGCAGTTACTGAAGTTACTGAGTGAATCATGTGAGATATATAAATATATATATATATACTGCCAATTCTATCAGCATTATGTACTTTTCCAAAGAGAACAGCACTTGGCAGATGAGGCGTTGAATATTAAAACAACAGAATTAAAAGAATCATTGGAATTTGTATGATCTTTTGTGCATAAGATGACAATCCTTCTTTTGAGCCAATCAGAACTCGGCAAGCATGAACTCTGCATTCTGATTGAATTATGACTTTGATCAGCGTAACTTGATGCAACATTACACCTGTTGCAAATCATCCATGATACCGTGGCAACACTTGGATCCAGGGTTCTGATTTGTTTTTGAGAATCAGCTGCTACTTGCTCTTTCACAGATAAATAGACAAAGTATTGTTGTTAACCTTATGCTAACCCTTAAACTATTTTGTTTCAAACCAGTGATAATTGTGGTCTATGTCCATGTTTTGTCTTTTACAAATAGAGATGTTTTATGTAGGATCTTTAACGTGCAAAATGCTGATGTGGTTCTTGCCATTACTTTGAGCATCCTGACTCTTTCACATAGACACAGTGTCCACACTCGCACATGCCTAGAAGTAATGCAATCCAGCAGAACATTAGTTAGAAATGGATATGCACATATTTTTCTGGTAAAGTATAGAAGATGGTATCCCGATCACAAAGATAAACTTCTCACTGTGTCTGATAGGTTGTATTGTAGGTTACCTTGAGAAATGGTTCTCCGCTGCGCTGATGATTTGTACCTGGATAAGATTTGCATGCAACATTCAGTTCTTCTAATCAAGCAAAGAGCAGAGTAAGGCCTCAAAGACTAAGCCGTCTAACATAAATTACAGGACTGATAAGAATTCATGGTGATACATGAGCATGGTGTGCTTTATACCTACCAATATTTGATGGCCTCAGACTATGTCGTGATTCTCTGCTGCTCATCTCTCTTTTATTTTCTGTCCAGTTCACCTGTCTGCATCATCTTGTCCATTCAACCCCATTCTTGGCTTTTTGTCTGATTGTTCCCTGGTCTGATTTTCCCAGATCTGAACTTTATGTTCAGCCATAGGTGATTATAGACCTTAAGAACCTACCAAGGCCCCCTCCAGAAAAACTTAAATTACTGTCAACAACCTTGGAAATGTGTCATTATGTGATTTTTTTCTTTTCAGTCTAGTCTCTTACCACTCATTAAAACCTTTAGAGTCAGTTACATATAAGTATTGCCTTCCCCTCTAAGTGGTCAAAAATACTTTGTCTTCTGTATTTAAAATGGAGCAAGTTGCTCATCATATGTTCCATTTGATAAGAGCCACAGAGTGACAAGGAACACAATCTTCACTTTAAAATCTCGGATGCCTGCAGGGTTTGCAAAAGGTCTTTAATAACACGGTAGTGATTGCCTGCTTGATCTACACCTTACTTAAGCCTGTCAATCATGTCACTTTCGGAGCCCTGCACCACCCCTTTCGTTATACTCTAAGCATCTTCTCCAAATCCCTCCACCCTGCCGAGCCTAGATCAGCTGGAGACAAGCACTTCTGATGAGTCCGTCCCTATACACCTCCCAAATTACCCTCATAAATGATGAGAGCATGTGCACACATGTGTCTGTGTGTCCTAGACTGGTGTTTAACCTACCATGGGGGTGGCTTACCGCTCAGCAGGAGCGAACAACTACTCTCTTCTTCTCCTCCATCACCTCCTCCTCTCCGTCTTTGTCAGAGTTAGTGGTGAGAGTGATGCCGAAAAGAAAACAAAGAAGATTCCAAGAGTCCCTGATGAGCACTAGGTCAAGGTCGATGGCCAATTATCCAAGTCTTTCATTCTCATTCTGTCTTTTCAGTTCTCCGTACCATCCCTCTGTTCCCTCATTTTCTCGTTCACCAGCCGGGAAAGTAATCGTCGTCTCCCATGCTGTGGTGTCGAGGTTAAGTGCAGGTGATGATGCCTTGTTGAGAGGGTAGTTCCCCGAGAGGATGCAGACTCTTGGAGTGGCATGTCTGAAATGTGCTTAAGACAAAGACTTGGTTGGACTCGTTTGTTCAATATCTGGTTAGCCACTTTTGGATTATATTGACTTTAAAAGTTTCGGTTGAAAAAACTGAAGGCTTCCGAGGCTGCTACCCATATTATTTACTCTTGGGCTGTCTAATCCTGCCACTGGCTGGCCAACACACTTGTCTGGAAGATGTCTAGTGAGTCTTGATTTGTTTGGTTAGAGATCAAATCTGTAGGTCAGTGGCCCTACAGGATTTAGACTATATGAAATAACACTCTCATAGTATTTGATCACTAGGATTTGAAAATTCCAGGTACTTACAAGATGTCACAGGAAGGAACTGCATCAAGGATGTTCTTGCTCATATTGCTAATGCTTTCATTTATCTTACAGTGCCTCTGAACTAAGCACAATGCTCCAGTTCTTTGCTTCGGAGATGACAAAATTAAATGATCTCATAATTTCCATCATTGTTTTCATTGTTTTGTACTCATAAACGCCTACAATGTGAATCAGGATTGCCACTCCTGAATTGGTACTTTCCTTGTCAATCGAATGCATTGTCATTATCACTAAGTGATAATTAACTTATGTGCATCATTTGGCTTTTTTGTTTGTATGACAATGTTTTGTTTTTTGATTTTGTTTTTCAAATGCTGTTGTTTAAATAAAGTGCATTCAAGGAAACAGAACTATTCTGCGTGCGTTTGTTCTACCTGCAAATCTGGGTGGTCTGCATGTCAGAGACTTAAATTGCTTTATCCCTAGTCCACAGTACAGTCGCAGAAGTTAAAAGAAAGCAGTGACTAACACACAACGCTATGTTGTATTTACGTAGCAGAGGGATTAGGAGTTGAGACAAATGAGTGGAAAGAAACAAAATACAGTTTCCCTTGTACATTAAAACAAACAAACCATAATAGGAAAAAAGTTACTGGAACTGACAATATAGTGTTTCATGCTTATAATTTGAATATATAAATCACTTGATTCTGTATTCTAGTGAGTAGCGAAAATAGTCCAGCATATTGCTTCGATGTCTATCTTAAGCGTCTCTATAAATCACACTTGAATACGTAAATACCTTACAACAAGACATTATTCAAAATATCCATTTTGTCCCAACTGAAAACAAACCAGACTTTCATTTCAGCACAATAAACAAGAACGACACTGAGGAAAAGTTTCCTGCATCAATAATTCCTTGCCTTATTGCATTTTACAACCTGATTGCTGCAAGCTTCTTTGCATTCATTCCATTGTGTGCTCTCATGGGCTTATTGTAGGTTATGAAATGCACATTTGCATACAAGTGAATTTGTAAACGCTATTGAATTGACAATTTCTGCTCTCATTTATTATTCTGTGCAATAACAAGAATCCATTTTATGATGTGAAACACCATCAGTCCGTTGACCTCACACTAAAGCCACCCCAAAATCAAAAGTCTTGTCTCTGGCCACCTTCCAGGTTTCCCTCCTTCCCGTGGTTCCCCGCTCTCCAGAACAGCTTGCAGTGGTGTCCTCTGGTTTTCATTCCACACCAGCCCTCCAATCTCCTAAATTGAACTTATTATTCGCTCAATTGGCTTGCTTTAACCCTTTCTCTCCCTCCAGGTCCAGGCCTGTATGTCATTAGCCAAAGGATTTTTTGGTTGCAGCGAAAGCGACAGGAGCTGGAGGGGTGTAGCTATAAAGCCGTGGTCCCTGGCAGGATCTGCAGTTGCATCCGCTGGAAGAGAGTCAGCGCTCAGACTACGAGTGCAGCGGAGCCAGACCACCCAGAGTGGGATGTGTGGCCCAGTTTGTTTTCTAGCTGATGAGTTTTAGTCCCAGCTGATAGCTTTGGTGACCTGGATCGCTCCCTCTCTCTCTTTGATTTTTCATTGTCTCTTCCTCTCTGACGTCAACTAAAATCTGTATGAAAATATTTTAATGGCCATCTGTGTGCTGCTCTTTATCATATATCAACAGGATGGCTTATTCCAAAGTTGTATGGGTATCATCTGATATTAAATGATAAGAATAATAAGCTAGCCAGCTGTGCATGTAGAATTAAGAATTCAGAAAAGACTACTTAGGAATCACCTTTTTGGAATAATATGAGTCCTCAAATATTACAACAACAATCCCAGCAGGCACAGGGTGTCAACATGATGTCAGCTTGACATTGTACCCCAAGGTTGTGGGACATTGAATTTTGTTTAGAAATGAAATTGAGTTGACGTCAGAACCCATCAGCCCGGCGTCAATGTCCAACGTCGCACAGACCATGTATATTGGTTAATTTCGAACCTAAAAGCAATAAAACATCGACATATAATGATGTTACAGCTTGACGTTTGGTGGACGTTAACAACATGACGCCTATCAGACTCTGGGTTTTAGTTACCATACCTGATGAATAAATGTCAGTATTTGATGTTAATATGACGTTGGTTTAAGATGTTGGATGTTAAGATGTTAAGATGTTTCCAACAGAACTTCATTTAACGTCGTTTTTGGACATCAAAATAACATTGTCCTTCGATGATGAATCTAAAGATTACTCTCTGCTGGGATGTCAGTATCCATGCCATGACTGGAGTGCCAAACTGCAAAGGTTTTGAGAACATCCACATCTCTATTATTTAGGTTACTTTTTAACTGCTTTTTCTAGCGTTATTATTGTAGTTGTATGTTATTTTGTTACAAAGAAGAACAAACACAGCTATATATTAATCTGAATGTAACTCTCTCAGGGTATTTACACAAATTATGGTATTACAAACCTCTTTATCCCTTAAAAAAAAAAGTAAGTTCACTGTGATTAAATTCCCCATGTTTTCGTTGTTAGTTCAATAGTCTTGAGGTAATCTATAAGCTTTTCTGTGCTCCAAAACAGTTCAGCACTTCCGGCAATATGAATCAACTAATTATTTGACGTGACCTCATACTTCAATTTCTCATCAAATCTTCTGCCCCCTTCAAGACACTGTTGCTTTTACTGATAGTGGTTATTTATTCACGTCAAAGAGGATTCAAACTGAGGATTACTTGCAAATATAAGAAAATATAAACAGTAGTTTATTAAACTCTGTCTGGCTGAACATCTTATTGTAAGTTTATTTGAAATGCACTGTCCACAGCACAGTTAACTACGAGATTCAAAATAAATCTGTTACACACAGTGTCCATTATTATTAGATGAATGGTAATATATGGATACAGACAGTGCAAATATGATTTCCTCTGGGGTAAATGAAGTCTGCTTTTGCATTAATATGTCAAACCACCGCAGCATGCAGGTATGGTCTGCTTCAAACACAGAGCGTATTATGTGTGTGCGAGTCGGCATGAGCCACAAAACTTATCAGACTCATTAGAATTACGCAGAGATCTGAATTTTAAAGTGGTGAGTCTATTTTGAGACACAAAATTACTAGTAAAGACTGTAGAGGTCATGAGTCTGATGAGCTCAACAACTCTAATGTGGTATATGGACACAGATTTTCAGTAAGCCAGCCCAAGTGCGTACAGTGAACTGTTGCACCTTTACAAAATCGCTATGTTTAAGATCTGATTTTAAAAATGAGAGATCGTCACTGCCTGACTGATATACAAAATGAAGTCGGTGTCAGACCAGACAGGAACCACTGCATTAAATTCTTGTTCAAATTCATTGTTAAAATTCTTGTTTTAATTTATTTGTGCCGCCTTTAAAATATGGACATTTTTACCCCGGTATTTTCAATGGAGTTTCTGTGCTAGCCTGCTAAATTAAACTAAATTAATGCTTAAGTTTATTTAACAAATTGTATTTTGATTCAATTACAACATCATTGCTCTAAAAGAATCCTTATGGAATTGAAAATAGTCACATAAACCTTTCACTGGAAGTTTATTAATGGCTGAAAAACACTAGCTGTGCAAATATTCCATTGTCAAAGTTGATATAAATGGGCCAGCATGGTGGCTAAGAGGTTAGCATGTTGTCTCACAGCAAGAAGATTCTGTTCTGTTCAAGTCCTGGCTGGACCAGGAAGCCTTTCTGTGTGGAGTTTGCTTGTTCAACCCGTGTTCACGTGGGTTCCAAAGGAATGTATGGGTGTTTCCCAGCTCTGGGTTGTACTCTCAATACTGGGCTGAGGCAGATAAACATGGTTTCACTATAGTAACTGCTGATAAAGTAGGGAATAAGCTGAAGGAAAGTGAGTGAGAGAGATACAAATAAAAGCTATTTGCTTTTTTTAAGCTGCTCTTTGTCCTGCACAATTCAATTTTAAGCCTTGAATAAAAATTCACAGCGACGCAGTGGCACAATAGCTAGTGCTGTCGCCTCACAACAAGAAGGTTACTGGTTCGAGCCTCGACTAGGTCAGTTGGTGTTTATGTTTGGAGTTTGCATGTTCTCCCTGCGTTCGCGTGAGATTCCTCTGGGTGCTCCGGTTTCCCCCACAGTCCAAAGACATGCGGTACAGGTGAATTAGGTAGGCTAAATTGTCCATAGTGTATGAGTGTGAATGGATGCTTCCAAGAGATTAGTTGCAGCTGAAAGGGCATTCGCTGCGTAAAACATGTGCTGGATAAGTTGGCGGTTCATTCCGCTGTGGCGACCCTGGATTAATTAAGGGACTAAGCGGGAAAAAAATGAATGAATAAAACCTCACATTTCAAAGCACTTTGTGAAACCTGCAATACAAGGACCTTCACATAAAAGCCACTTAAATAGCCCCTATTATGGGTTTTTGAAAATGACCTCCTATGCAGTGTGTAACACAGCACTAAGTGAATGAACTCCTCCAGCTGAGGTTTAAACCTGAAAGTGCACCGTGTTTAAAACTATTGATTCTTTAACGAAATTTTTAAATTAGTCAAATTAATGAATTCAGTTGGGCGAGGATGACAATCACTAATAGATGGAGATTTGGCTGCAGAGACTATTATTTATGGGACTTTGTCAGTAACTGTTACAGTTCATATGGACCAGTTTCTTCTTCCTCCGGATCATGTAAGTGTAATTAAAATCATTGTCTCTTTTGAGTAGTTTTCAAAATATTGGTTTAATTTTGACTTGTAAGTTGTAATCCCTCTACGCTGCATGTAATCCCTTATCTATTATAGATCAATGCTTGTAATGTATCCTTTCAGGTTAAAACTTTATGGGACTATTCACATACTGCTTCCAAAACCACGTTAAAAAAGGCGTCACAAGCTTCTTCCTATACTGATTAAAATGTGTTTCTGAACTCGCGATCCTCTGCCGTTTGTCTTTGCTATGGCCACCATCAGCTGTTCCTACATGCCGCACGGTCAATTTGCAAAATAGTTCAACTTTTGCCACTGTATGGATTAATACTGAAAGTGAGTCGTTGCTGTTACTTGTGGTTAGCGTTAAGAGTAGAGTAATATGCTGGTGTTTAACTGCATTGCTTTATTACACTCCTGCATTGGGCTCTCACATACTCTCTGCTTCTTCATAACCGTGGTGGGCGTTTCTCTCTGTCTCGCGCTGAATGCAGTTGACCAATCACAACAGAGTGGGTCATCGGTCCAAACGGTGCAGATTAGCATCGCGCTAAGGATCAAATGAATCGCTGAACAAATCATATGGGAGTCGCTGGGATAATTAGGTAAAAGTAAATGCACGTTATAAGACAATGAAAGTTTTTTGACCTTGCATGCATATCACCCTGTTGTT